GAGAGCCCCGACGGCATAGACTTCACCCCGGCGTCCTGACCGTCTGAGTCCGGGGCTCGGCGCGCCTGGCTCCGTTGTGATTTTAACTTCTGTATTCCTGGTTCCTAGTTCCCTGTTCCTCGTCTTTGTCTCGGATGGACCTCCCAGCTATTGGATTTTGGACTCTGCCCTGATTTACCCTCTGGACCGTTTCGGACACGTACGCCTTCGCCCCACCCCCCCGAGCACCGGATCTCTGCCGTCACTGCCCTCCTGCCTGTCATCCCATCCTATTCCAGCTGTGTTTTCCCTGTTGTCCTTCTCCCGTCACTTCCGGATTATACCGTCCGCACAGGGTCCTAAACAACGCTCTTTATGGGAGTCAGGACCGGCTCCCATGACAGTAATGGCTTAGCTTCCACTCTGGGCTTCCACACTCTGATCTCCCCAATGACTCCCTTACTTCAGCCGGTGTAAGAACACTGCTGTGGGGCTGCTGGTGCAGAATGGCTGGCTCTAATCTCTCAGATGGGGGCTGCACTTCAGTGGGGAAAGCACTGTGTGGGATCCCTAGGGATGAAAGTACTAAGTTAATCAATTATCCACAGCAATGTCAGCACAAACCAGAGCACTTGAGAGCAAGAAAGGAATCAGATTGCAATGCATTTCCATTTCTCAAGACATTTAAAAGGGTATTGGATAATTGGGTACTGGATAATTCTAACCATCTTCGGGGTAGATTTGCATCATTATTAAAGAAATTATTATTTTTATTACGAAAGACAATTTGTCCAATTTGTCCCATACCTGGTAAAACCTTAAACTGATCCAACTGTTTTGCAGCAGGAATCTTCCCAGTTTTCCTGTGATAGGTTATAGTGAATTAATGTGATTAGGTTCAATGTAACTTCTGAAAATGCCAGTTTGTCTAATGCAGCAGGAGAGGCAGTCAATCAATATGACAGGTACTGTATGTGCTCAGCTACAGTTAGGAATGTGCAAGCCCGGGATTTTTGTCATCAGAGGCTCGTCATCTCAGAGAGTTAGATTCCATTAACATTGATCTCTTTGAGGTAAAGTATAAATTTGTGCAGTAGGTGGGAAACCATACTGTACTTGCTGGCATTTGGACACCAGTCATTTCTCATTATTACTACTGTAAATCCTTAATATACCGAGTGCAGCAGTACCTCTGTGTCGTCAGGGCTAGATCATTACAGATTGCTTTATCATTGATCTGACAGCACATCGGCATGGAATTGAAAATTATATGTGGAAAACACTGGAGCTGAGCATTGGTTAATTTAAAGCAAATAATTACTCAGATCAAACTAATGATCATCATTAGTCATGTTGTATTATTGCTGTTTGAATTCAAACATCTAATTTAGTTACTCCATGCCACTCCAAGCCAGTACACTGTAAATGCTAAGCAAACTGCTTTTGTTCTTTGCATTTAGAACAGAAAACTTTCACTGTTCTAAGGTGGAAGATACACACAACAAGAGGGACATTTTCTGTGCAAAAGCAAATATTTAAGTTTTTTTTTACTACTGTGGCAAAGGGATACTATGGTATATCATGCTGAAACAACACTTTGAAATAATGGGACAAGTACGGCCAATTTGCAAAACAGGTGTCTTTTTTAGTATTTTTTATGGGAACCCCATCAAATATGTTAATAATTACTAAGGGTTTCTTTATTGATTCATACCCTGTGTTGCATTTGCAAAGTATTGCGTTCTGGAGGTGAAGGGTTAAAATGAATGATGAATTTTACTTTTGTAGGTGTTGTACTGGCATGCTGGCTTGTACTTCTGCCTCACAACTCTTGAGACACAGACTGGGTTCTGGAATGGACTCCTTCTATCTGGAGTCCGAATGGGTTTTCATCAAAAGCTCCAATTTAGCCTGCCTTCCAAAGACAGGCTGGCTGAATGAATCACTTTCTCTGTATGATCTGTGTCTGTCCTGTGATGGACTGGTGCTCCTGGTCTTACAGGATAGGCTCTGGGTTTCTGTGATCTTTACCTGGCAACATCAGTTTTCAATCATGGCTGGCTCTCATTTAGACATTAAAATTCTTACCTGCTGCTCTCAGTACTGAATGCAGTTCTTGAGCAAAACACCAATTTTTAAATGACTCAAAACTGTGCTCTGGGATACAGTATTGTGTAAACGTAAAAGGCAACATGCCAAAAAAGAAACAAAAACTCACCACTGCCATCTGCAATCTGATGCCCAGTTTACACCACAACCTGAGTTACAGTAACTTATACAGTATATAATGACCCATGTAAGGAGGTCTTAGTCCCAGAGCGCTTATCCAATGTCTGCCGAAGTTTATGTGTAGAGGGTATTCACTGTGGTGACCTTTGGAGACCTGCATGTTACAAGTTTCATTCTTGTGTCTGAGAAGAGAGGCATTCTTTTGTGGGATAATGTGTCTCTGTGCTTAATTGTGTACATGCGGATTACATACCTTTCTGTGTGAATGTAGACACAGCCTAACATACAAAATGTCATGTGTGCATGTGCACATGTAAAGGTAAAAACATTACTGATATTCAGACTCACACAAAAAGCTGAAATGAATAGATGACCTCTAATGACCTCTAAAAGACCCTCATCAATTAAGGCCTTCAGCAGCTGTAGGATGTGGGCTCATCGACCCAGGCAGGAATCAATGGAATAACATTTTAGAACACACGGTCGCCGGCCCCTGTAATCAGAGCTCTTGTGAAAAAGATCTCAGGTTGACTTCCTCAAAGCTAAAGGAGCTTTGTCATGTCTTTTCAAATGAGGGGGTGTACCTGTATCTCTGCAGTGTGGCTGGAGAACAGTAGGGGGTGTGTGCTTCTGCTCTTTGTTTCTGATTGGCTGCAGCCAAAATCTTTTGCATACTTATTTTGATATCACTCATTGTCCTTTATTGAGCTCTGCAGATACATAGGACTATTCATCTATGAATCTTTTCCATGTATTTCATATGAAGGTAATTAGATACTAGAATGGTACTAATAAAAAAGTCTGACATTCCTTGGAAGCATCTATAATACAGATTTTAGTCAAGTCTAACCATCACAGGATTCCTGATGTTCCCATCAGTAAGTGCTTCCATTTCCAGTCCTGTACATTTTCACTTGTGGCCCCTTATCCTTTTTCAGTTGTTAGCTGCTGAAATTGATCATGAGCTGCATTCCTCAAGCCAGGGGTCTGCAGGTTATTCATTTCTCTTTAAAGCACCAGAATCCTGAAGAGATGGGACAAGCTGTTAAATTGGTCATATTAATCCAATAAAGAGCTGATTCTGTCTGAGGACATCCCAGCTGGACTGAAAGACAGTAGAAACAGCAGTCCCCCGGGACAAGGTTTGGGGAACCTTGATTCCCTGTCACTGCAAGTCTTTGCCCTTGCTAATCTTAAACAATCAAATTGACCTGCTCTGATCTGGGTTAATGAAGGATAAATTCAGTGTTTAAATTACTGCAGGGTACAAAGCAACGTAATGTCATCTCTCACAGCTTGTGCTCTTAACCTGAGTAATACAGAATGGCGAGTGGCTAGAGGGAATTGAATCCAGGTGCCCAGATTAAATACTCCTGCTCTCCTGCATTTTCCTCTCAACTGTCGCCCGCTTGCAGTGAGGCCAAAGTCTCGCAAGTGTTTTCTAGGCAACAAAAACTGAAACTAGTAGCTCTGCGTTGAGCAATTTGATTGACAAGTTGCATCAACCTGTGTTTGTAAGTAGTGGTGACAGGCAGAGTTTCAATAGAGGTGCTGAACAAAGCGCTTTTCTTTACAATGAGGCTCAAGGTGAATGTAAAACGAGGTTATTCAGAACAAAACATTATTTAGGAGCTCAACAAGTGGTAGAGGTGTGGTTAGGGATCTGGGCTTGTAACGAGAAGGTTGTGCGCTCACATCCCAGGTGAGACACTGCAATTGTCCCTTGAGCAAGGTGCTCAACCTGAAGTACAGGGTCCTGTATTGTGACACAGCTACACACACGCACACACGGACGCCAGTTAACCTGCCAGTATGTCTTTGGACTGTGGGAGGAAACCGGAGCAGCTGTAGGAAACCCCTAGAAACACAGGGCTAACAACCTGCACAAAGACAGCACCCCTCAGATTGAACCTACAGTCCCAGTGCAGTGGGGCAGCAGTGCTGACCACTTCAAGCTGGAAAAATCGGTACAAAAGTAAGATATTATGGACGAAGTCAATAAATATATAAATTTATAACAAAATGGGAAGGGAGTGAATATATACATATACAGTACTGTATAAATTATATAAAATCCACAGGAGTACCAGGGAAGAATTATAGACAGTTTTGGGACATAATCAGAAGTGGAAATGAGAAGGGGGCTTTTTTAGAATAACAAACACTTCTTTGCTGCACTGTTTTTTATCATGGTTCTTTCTGATCTTGCCGGCTTTTACGTAAATTGCGTTGAAACAACTGGACTGCAATGACAGCAAAGATCCACCTCTGAATCGCACGAGTGTTTTGCATGGTTTGTCGCCCCCTTGTGATCTGCTTTATGGTTACACAACGTGCTCTCTCGCTCTGATGTAAATACCTCTTCGCGGTAAGGTGCACTTCTGGATGTACCTGAACATTACATTGTAGTCGTTACTTACGTGCATTTTGTAAACCAATGACTTCAAACTGATTCTCGGTGTGCTTCATAATTATATGTGTTTTGGAACAGTTTATATCTGAGTGATATTTTAAATTAGACTTAGCTGACATACGGCTCAGATGAGACAGACCGTCAAAAATGCAATTAAAAAAAACGACTAAGCAAAAACTAAAAGAAAAGACAATTACTTTTGTACGGAGAAAGTGTCATACTCCAGCATATTCTTGATTGTATTATTAACCAATCCATTACCGGGCTCTTTCCTGCGGCTGTGTAGGATGCTCGCTCTCGGAACTGAACGAAACAGAAGGGGAGACAACTGCTTGTGTACTGTCAGAGCAAGCGAAAGGGGGAGTGACTCGCATTGGTCCCAAGCACAACCCGTGAGAGGCGGCTCGCCGCTATGAAAGCAAGAGCTCGGCCACGTCTCAGCCCAAACGCGCAGAGTCTCCTCTCCTACCTGCCAGCCTGTCGCTAGATTCCCAAAGGTCCGGCACTTGGGATGTGAAGGGAATCACCGAGGACTGCTATCGACCGACAAGCCGGGGAGAGGAGGACGATAAAGAACACATTCCAGCGAATATATTCATAATAAACTTTTTTTTTTCGTAAAAGGATACTGATATTTTATTGCTAATAAGAACCAAGTCCGCCGTTGAAGCCGTGCCGGGGAAGATCATGGGTAGCGCGATGTTGGTAGTTCTTCTGGGAGCGGTGAGTGCGCGTTTGCTTCTTCCTTGCAGTTTCTGAGCGGTTGTTGGCTCGCCAGGGAAGTGGCAGAGCCTCTTTAATTAGCGAAGGTACTGGGCCAGTGTGCTGTGCGCCGCGGCAGGAGGTGCCTGCCTGCCCAGTGACAGAGGCTGTTTTTGATACGGGCTCCAGTGCACTGACAGCGCAATGTCAAGAGCCAGGCACTGTTTCAGGAGTCACTAAGACTCGCTCTTTCTCGCACCAGGCACCCTGCGGGTCGACAGACCGCCCGGGGTGATGTTTCGCAATTATGTCCAGAATAATTTGACAGGCAGGTGCCTCAATGTTTTGAGTCAGCTCTCCCACACAACAGGTGAGAAAATGTTTAAATGGGCGTGCGAGTTTGTTATTTCCGTTTTTCGCTGTGTCGAGGCATGCTTTTCTAAACGGGATGAATCGGTAAAACCTCAACGCACCGCGGCAGAATGAGGGACAGTTGTCAGAAGTGGGGAACATCTGTTGGGATGTTTTAGATTGGTACATCTCCAGTACGAGGATAACAATGCTAAAAATAATAACGAAGATTGTTTTGCGGTATAGTCTGAAGCAATACACTGTACAGCTGTGCACCGCTGTTTCTGAGCGGAGCTGCCTCATGCACGTCTCTGAATTATTTAAATCGCATTAAACTGTAAGCAAAGTAACCAGCGGCTTTTAGGGCAGCTCTTTACAGCGCAGCGCTAATGTGTGGGGCTAACCTTAAGTGAAGCCTCCACTTAGAAACGAAATCATCTGGTTGGCTGCCTGCTACCAAAGACAATTAGTCTCCCTGAATAGACCACAAATACACAGCGCTGCCTGCTTGCCTGGCCACGCTGCTTCGTGTTGAGCGCGTCGCTCGGAACCCGTGCTGGGGCTCAGCTTCAGACCCGCCAGCTCTCCCATGGAGACCCTCGTTATGCCTTATGCCTTTTCAGACAACTTGCAGCTTTTCTCCGCAATCAGAGCATTTGCAGAGGCATCATTTATGATGATACACGTTGTCGCACGTTGAGCGGTTGTCAGAAAATTATGTGGCCTCGTTAAAAGTATGCTGAAAAACTGGATAGCTGGAAACCAAGCTTGTATTATAGTGAACTCTTAAAAACTGTAAGACATTTGTCTCGTTTTGTAATCAATATTATAACCCCAATGGCGTTGTACAACCCAGGACGCTCTGAGACCTGATGAGGTTTTAAGTTTTCTCTGAGATTAAAAGAAACTGATAGCGCATGCTATCCATTGACTGTACCCACATGAATAAAGGTGTATATTTATTACAGGGTTGCAGAACTGATCGTAAAGGTAAACCACAATATATTATCCTGCAGTAGTCAATTGTTTGTTCTGACACCACTTGTCAGAGGTCAACTAGAAAACGAGTTTGAGTCTTCCATCAGACAGGTAACTCATTTGAAGTCGAAGTTTTAAAGTGAGGAAACATATTATTATCCAGTTCCAGGGCTTTAAAAGGCTGTAAGCAATCAAAACCAGTTCGGCCTGCAGAGACATACCGTACCATTTTCACAGAGTGAGTGCTAGGGATCAGATAATCTCTTTTTGCATTTCTCGTAGAGGAAACGCTCATATGATCTCCTGCCCACACTGGATCAGATATGCCAAACCGTTGCTCAGTATTTTTGGTAAATCTGTCACGAAAACACAGTTTCCACTGTGACCTTTAGCGCAACACACTTGGCTGAGGGTGGCGTTGTTTAAAAAGGTCGCCGGTAGAGAGAAATTAATATTGCATTCTTCAGATTAGACTTCACGGAAGCCTGTTAATATTGGCGTCCTGGCTAAATCGAACAAACCCAGTTTTCCAATTAGATGCAGTATATTACAGTAGGTCTAATTGGGTCGATAACGTCATTTATATTCATTCTTCTACCCCACCTCCACACACACACCCATGAAACGCTTAGGTTGCCCCAGAGTAAAGGTAAGGTGTCTTCACCGCATAAAAGAAGGGGGAACGCGATGGCCTCGCACTTATGAAAGAAGATGACAGCCAGGGGGATACAGGAGAGATTCCTGTAGATTACTAACAAGTACAGTAGCTCCCTTTTGTAAAGATTAAAGGATCAGTGTCATCGCAGGCGTGATTGTGCCATTCCTTAACTCTTCAGTTTGAACATTAGACATTTCTGACGTGTTGCGTATTATCTGCGAAACAAACAACCAATAAAGCAGATGTAAGGATCTGATGGTTTCGGGAGAGAAAGTACCCTCCGGCTAATAAGGTCTTAGAATACCATTCGAGACGAGATAAATCCGCAACAATTTCAATCCGGATGGATTAACCAAAATTAAACGGTCAAATGTGTCTTTTGTTAAATAAATACAAAATGTATTCGGTTCCTACGAAGCTGCTTACGTGCTCATGCTACATTTTCTTTCCTGATTTTGATTTTAACACATGCGAGACAACTCATTTTTTTCAATTTATATATCGCAGTGCTTTATCAGCAGTATAGTAGAGGCTATCCTCATAACTACAAGACATATATACCCAAATATTGAAACACAAGCAATAGCTTTTCGAGGTATTATGATAAATTGAATAGGGTTGGGACATTTTAATTTAATTTAATGTAACTGAAATATAAAGCTATAAAAATGCATGTGAGGAGCTTGTGATTCAACTAGTTTGGTTGTATAGTAGGTAGCGGTTTGATTCCATCTTATCCAGTTGATTCTTGAAAGAAGCCAAGACATTTGCTTCAATAATGACTGGGTAGCTTGTTCCAGACTCCCATAGCCCTTTGGTAAAAATATCTCCTTTCCTAAGTTTTAAATACACTTCTCCAAAGCTTCCATGAGAGTCAGTTCACATCTGTTTCACTGCCAATTCTGCAGAAGACGATTAGGTGACTTACCAAAGCCTTTAGAGGATTTTGAATACTTGGGTCTGGTCTGTCATAGTCTCTACAAGAGACCAGGGGTCTTTGATGTCACTGTGAGCTAAATGGCATAATTATGAAGCGGGGAACTGGAGGAGTTACCTGAGGAATCAAATTTAAGAACTAGATACGCTGTGCCCAGTGCCACAGTCTTATAACTGAAGAATGTCAACCCAACAATTGTGCCTGCAGTATTGAGGGGTCCCGTAGGTGCATAACAGAAGAAAACAAATAATAAAGACAACATTGGAGTAACTGAATTCAGAAGTGCAGGAGAACCTGTCTTGCAAACCCACACAGACGTGTAACTCTGGTATGGCCATGACACTCTGAATCTGCAGCTGAGTGTTGTAACTTGTCAATGAAGGTATTAAAGATAGGTGTGGATTGACAACACACTATAGTACTGTATTTCAAGTTATGGACAGGTTCCAAGGATGAATTATGAAGCTGTGAGAGTCTGAGTAAGTTGCCGATAGAAACCAACCTTTTTTGTTTCGAGCTCTTTGTAATCAACACTGTGCAGTTTTTGTATATATAAGCAATTAATGAGTCTTGTCACTCTGTTGTTAGATGCTAAGGGCAGTAATAATTATTTTCTATTGTTGAAAAGGTGACGATAATATCCCTGGTAAGAGAAGGGCCAGATCAGATCATTAAAGAATTAGAAATCCACAAATTTGTCCACGTCAGTGCTTCAGTGAAATCTGTCTCTTTACATGGAGCCTTTGGTGATGTGTCATCTTTCACTTTTCCATCTTCAGCCACTCTATTGAATTTATGCATACGAATACTGGATAAGTGCATGGTGTTAAGTTTCTGGTTTCTCTACTTGGTTAATCTTCGATCAATCTGTTTAATTGACAAGTCAAGTGGTGTCAGTTTCGTTTTAAGTGAGGCTATCCAATCAATTTGTCTTGAATCATGTGGCGGCACAAAAAAGGACATAAAACATTGTAAGATTTTTTCCTGTGTGTTGATTTGAAAAGAAGAAGAAATTTGAAACTAACTTTTATTAGTAATAGATAAGACTGGATGGAGGTGTTTGTTTACACTACATTTAACGTTCCCTATTGTGTTAGATACTACTGTACTTCTCTTCCATCGGTAGTGGGTTTACTGTGGAAGGAATCTGGACATACTCTGTCATTCACTGTGCTAACTGTGTACAAGTGTGTCACCCACCATGCTACTGATATGGTAAAAAAAATGGTTTCATCCATCTGATTCCTTCTACACAGCTTAGGAGGCTTTTTAGGAGAAATGTCAGGAAAATCTAGAACAAAGTATTTGCAATTCATGCAGAAGTACTTGTAAAATTTGTCTGTGCTCATACATGCTTTTCTAAATGGATCCTGTTCTGTAAACTAAACTTTGGTCCTTGGGTTAGACTTTGATATTTCTTTAATGTACTGCAAAAATCCATTAAAATGTTTACTGGGACTGACAAAGATACACTAACACTGTAAACATTTGCAGATGGTATGTATGGTGCACATGGAGCTTTGTTTAAAACAAAGCAGATCTTTTTTTTTCTCCCAATTGTTTCCCTTTTGGTTAACACGTGAGACCAGAGACAACGCATTTGGACTGGTGCAAAATTCAGTGCCAGGTGCTTTTCATTTTACTGGATCAAAGCTTTTCCCTTTTCCTTGCAAATCTGAAATTTGGATAATGAATTCAGTTTACTCAGGGATATTGAATATGAACCAGAGAAGATCGATTGGTGAGCCCACAAAAGGGATCACTTGCTCACTGCTGAAATATAAGGAAAGCACTGTTTGTGTTCTTTAATCAATATAAAGCATAAATCTATGCGGAATCTGTACTAGTTCTCTGCAGAAATAATGGTTGTCTGTGTGAACAGCTCACCAAATGACATTTCAGTTCTCTTCTTCCTGATATTACAACATTAAAGTGATCAGCGAACCAAAATAAAGTGCTAGCCACAATGACACACACTGGGTTACAAACAAGCTGGGGAAAACCCAGGATATCAAAGTCAGGCTACAGATTTAGCCTTAGTCTACAATGGCTTTGGAATATAATCATTAGAATCTTAAAGACCCCTATTCACCGTTTAGCCTGAAGCAAGATCTAAAGCCACAATTTGTGAAGCACTTACAAGCACTCCAGAGAGAGAGATGCTGCTGGGGGAGAGGGGTTGAGCGAGTGGGTGTGTTGTGCAGATGTGTCCATTATGTGATCTTCCAAATGGTAAAAAAGGGCCCATTAAGTGCTGATGATTTTCAGAGAGCCAAGCCATGGCTGACAGCTAGGGTCAGGAAGTTAAACATATTCGTTCCTTGAGAACACAGGGAAGACTTCAGAGATCGCAGACCCCAACAGAAATGTGTGGAGAAGCACATGCCTCTGGGTCCTGCTCAGATTGAAGATGTCCTCTGGGTTTGTGGGATCTTGACTCTTCTCTGCTATGGATCCGTAAATAAAATAGGAATCCATTTTAAGGGTCACATTTCCTTCCTGCAGCTGGGGTTCCCCCTCCCTGTCCCTTTAGACTTGGATGAACCCCATCAGCTCAGACACGATGCATTCCCACCTCTGACGTTCTTCTCCCTGGTGATTTGGCTTGCTTAGTATTTCCTCAGCTGTGTTTGAGATGCTGGAGGTGAATGGTGGTGAATGTGGAGCAGCACCTCCTCCAAAGAGGGAACAGCAATTCTGTCATGAGTGAAGCAGAATGAAGGGAAGGTGGTGAGTATGTGGGTGTGGGAGTGATCCTGAAGGACAGCTCAGCCTTCAGAAGCAGACCGAGTTCGGTGTCGAGACAAGGCTAACAGCTGGCGAGGCCAGAATTCCTCCTGTGGAAAGGTAGCTCGGCTGACAGTGGGCGGGAAAGGGTTGAGCGTCTTGAGGTGGGTGAGGAGTGTGAAGCACAGCCAACATCTGTGTTTTAATGGGCTTTACTGGCTATCCTACAGCTCACACTGCTGCACAGGTACCGATACCAAATACTGCGCAGCCAAAGGTCGAGGTCCACAGCTCTCTGCACACCATCAGGCAACACTTTCATTTTCAAAGATCGTACCCCTTTATAGGACAGCCTCATCCTAAACACGTCTCAAATTAGTGTCTTTATATTTTGAAGAAAGCAGTAGAGCCTATTGTTTGCATTTTGTTTCTATTACATTTTCTGTTCTTAGTTTCTGCTTTCCAATAATTTTTAATTGGACAGTGCAAGGTGAGTTTAGGGACATTGATGTCTGCATGATGGATACCAGTCCCTCTGCAATCTGCAAACAGCGGTGGAGCTTTCTTTAGTCACTGAACACTCACGTGGGCTAACGCAATCTGGACTCTGCAAGGCACGGAGCATTACGTACAGTAGCAGTACCTTCGGAGGGCTCAAGAAAAGAAGGACAAAGCAATCTAAAACCACCATGTCCATTTTGATCATGCTGATCATTTTCTTTAACTTTGAAACCAAAAGGCAGAATTTAAAAACACACTGGATCATAGTCAAAAAAGTTTGACACCAAATCCATACCTGATATTTCCCCTAATGAGAACAAGACACAAAAATTTGGCAAGCGTCACAAGTCTTTCAGATTGTTGAATTAATAAAGAATTTTGAATACTATGTGTGTGAATACAATTCTGTTTAGAAGTTTACTTTTTGCTTTTCAAGAATGGATGGAGAAACTTGATGAATGTTTTTCTGATAGCTTAATGGTGTTCCAATGTGTCTGAAAGAATACCAATATAAATAGTGAGATAGATCTTCAATTCATGTGGTACAGTGTAATAAGAAAATAAATTAATTTATAAATTAATAATTTAGTACTTTTTGGCCTTCTGGATTCTGGACATATTTTAACTCAGCGTTCCCTAGTATTGCTGGCCATAGTGAAAAACCCATTTGAACTGTGTTGGTCTGAAATAACACAGATAAAAATATCTAACATTATGAATTAACGTTAACAGGAACACTAACCTGAGGCCAACCAGCATTGATAAAATAACATAAGGGAGAATAAGCAAAGCCCAGAACAAAA